AAAAAAAAAAAAAAAAAAAAAAAAAAAAAAAAAAAATCCTCCTTTAAGCGTCCTTTTCCGTGTGTTTCTTTCTTTCTTTCTTGTTCCCTCCCTTTTTCTTTTTCTCTTCTGTTTCTCCGATCTTCCCTACGTATGATGACACCTGACATTATGGCATTGCTCAGGAGCAGGATTCAAAGTTTTCAAAACTCTTAACCTGATTTATTATCAGCAACCTGATTATGAGCAGTTGTATGTGTGAACACTGTCGAACAATCAACCACCAAGCAAACATGTCTGCATTTTTTTTTTTTTTTTAATAAAGGGACTGTTTCTCTCAACTTATGTGTGCCATCCTTGCACAGGGGCCAGTTGCTAATTAGTAATTAGTAATTACCCTTCTCTGTATCGTTCCAATTTTAACGGATGTCCCGAAGGACATGTTTGCATGATTCCTCTTCTTCTTCTTCTTCTTCCTTCTTCTTCTTCTTCTTCTTATCCTTATGATGGCGAGGTTGATGATGAGGATCGTAAGATGTAACAATTTTGGGATCGAGAGCTCGAACGACTTCGAGATAAGGCATGAGAATAAAGTTCAACGAACTCGAAAAGCTTTTTTTTCCCCTTCCTCCTTCTTCCCTTCTTCCCTTCTTCCCTTCTTCCCTCTCCCTTTCCTCCCCCCCCCCCCCCCCCAAAAAAAAAAACAGGTCCTTATGGCCCTGAATCCATTTCCATTCTGGGGAGCATGAGTGCGGTTCCTATTCCTCCGGCAAGTCCGAACAAAGTATTTTACATCATGAAACACACTCACGCTTCCTTCTGTCTGGCCGAAGGAACCCTGACCAGCATTGATTACTCCAGCATCGTGGAGGATCGACTGTCAGCTTGCCTTACTTCCGTCCACCTTTCCGCTCAGCTCCACTGTACGAGCATGACAGATAAATGATAAAAAGCAAGAAAGGTAAAAGAAGCTACGGCAGATGAATCTCGGAATTTGGCAATTTGCCCTTCAATATTACGCGGCCTGTGATGGATCTTGTTTCGTCTGCTGGCTGGGATCTCTGCCTTTTCCACTCTGCTTCTGAGTTGTGCCAGTCTTTCCACCGTAAGCGAACGTCGTTTATCTCTGCTACTTTGCCTCCTGCGAGCCACACCTTAGTGAATTTTGCCTTGATTCTTCTCTGTTGCTGCTCGTCATATGGCATACAGTGTCCCATCTCTTTATGCCACTTACAAAGAATCTCTGCCTGATGAATCAAGGTCCTTGTCTCCGCCCATACCTTCTCCCTTGGAGTTGAGATTCCCTCAATGGTTCCATTCTCCAGCACCTTTCCTTCCACTGCAGATGGACCACAGCGTTACCTTTCTGAGGGAGGGGAGGGAGTCGAGAAGGAGGAGGGGAGGGAGTCGAGAAGGAGGAGGGGAGGGATCATTCCGAAGCACGTTTTCTGTGTCTTGTGGAATGGAGCTGGGATGTGTTAGTCCATAGGAGGAGTTGGATGGGGGGTGTTGAGGGAGGAGAGGGAGTCGAGAAGAGGGAATCGCAGAGATCCGAGGCCCTCGCCCAATATTCCGTCGCCTCTTTACAGCGTATCAGGCAGTGTAGCATATGTTCGGGTTCATTTTCTGAGCATGCCGCACATAAATCTTAACTGTTGGGGTCATTCTTACTTCTTCTAATATGCAGCCACGGGTTAACCGGTAGAGCGACGTATGAGATGAGCCATTGGTCTGTGAAAATCTGCATGCCCGGCTGTGGGTGTGCAGGCTTCCTTCACAAGTCAGTCTCGATTTGTCTGTCGCTCTTGTCCTGATTTCTAGTTTCAGTTCCTGTGGTATGCACCACACGGACCCTTTGGGCCCGACAATAGGTTAGGGGGTTGACTAGGGAGGGGATCAGGGGGGGTCCCTTGTTTCCTTTGGGCCTCAGCATTGTTTTCTTGGGCAGCCTCAGTCCCTGGTTCAGTCCCTTGTTTCCTTTGGGCCTCAGCATTGTTCAGGACGGTCCCGTTTTAGTCCGAGTGTAGGACCGATACAGGTCCAGTGGCCGTTCCCAAGGCCACATTCGGTTCCTCAGTTGGGTGCCAATTCCAGGATGCAGTTTGGGCGCCAGACCTTTTCCGTTTGTTTCGGACAGTAATGAGGTCCGGGATTTGAGTACAGTTTTGGCGCGAGACCTTTTCCGGGATTTGAGTACAGTTTTGGCGCCAGACGTTTTCCTTTTGTTCCTGACCGTAGTGAGGTCTGGGCGCCGGTTCCGGGATTCGGCTTGGGCGCCAGACTTGCCTTCCTTTGGCCTAGCACACTACACCCAGCGGTATATAGTCGGTGAAACTCCGACGAAACAGTTTGTCACAGCCCCTCGTTTGTTGTCCTCTTCTCCCTCTCTGCCTACGGTTTACCGGGCAGTTCTGTCTGACGATATATAGCTGGGCCAGCCTCATTCTAGGCACGCAGAGTTAGAGGTTGAGGTCTTCACGCTGCCGGGCAGCGCTGTGTCGGTATATATAGCTGGGCCAGCCTCATTCTGCCCGAAGGATCCCTGATCAGCATTGATTGCTCCTAAATGGAGGATTGACTGTCAGCTTGCTACTCTCTTTTCTGTTCCTCACAGATTCAGGTAGTCTGCCTCTCCGTCAGAAAGGCATATATTAGCCAAGAACGTAAATGAGAGGCAGCTGATGTGCGCCCAGCCTAGCTGTCACCCCCTTTGAATCTCCTGGCTGGGGAAGGGATGTCCTTCTTGTTCAGCTCAGATCCTATTGCTTCCATCTGTCACCTCGAAGGAGTGTGTTATCTTCGATAGTACTAGCAACCATGCCTCGTAAAAGCCAACCTCTGAGGAAATTTCTCCTGCCATCACCGAAAAGCCAACGTCTGAGGAAATTTCTTCTGCCGTCACCGAAAAGCCAACCTCTGAGGAAATTTCTTCTGCCGTCACCGAAAAGCCAACCTCTGAGGAAATTTCTTCTGCTGTCACCGAACTTGTCAGCTCTCTTTTTGGCCGCCTGTTTTAACTTTTAACTGCGAGCCATCTCAATTAAAAGGCAACCTCTCAGTAAATGGATTCCCTTCTGAACGAACATCTCTATGCGTGACAAGTTGTGTGTGTGTGTGTGTGTGTGTGTGTGTGTGTGTGTGTGTGTGTGTGTGTGTGTGAGTGCAGGTGTAGCTCTCCTGCTCATCTTGCGTAAGTGCATCCTCACTGGCTGCATTTTTTCCGTGGATGTATCTGACTCCAGTGGGAGCCGAGTTCAGGCAAAACAGTTCTGCTGTGAGTTGTACGGAGTATGCTCTAACTGGTTCCTTTCTGTTTGTGCAGATCTATTGACCTCTCCCTTTCGCTTTGCACTCCTGTATGTATCTGACACCAAATGCAGGCATGATGCATTTAATGGATCATGACAAAGTGAACATGGAGCTGAGGCTCCTCCTGGAATCCGAAGGACTTGACGTACAGCTCAGCTATGATGGCCTGAGAATTCCTCTCCCCCTTGCTGTCAATCCCCCACAGCTTGCGCTTGCAAACGATTTGTCGCCTCGGGATCGCTGATCAGGATGGTGCCAGTCGCTTGCTGCTGTACCCTTATCAGTCTTCTCGCCTTGCTGTGAAACGCTCTGCTCCCGTGCCAGTTGCTGCGCTGCGCTGCTTCCCGTCTACTGTGTGAAGCTGTACGTATGCAAGCAAGGAAAGGACAGGGAAGAGGACAGGGAAAGGGGGTTCCCAATCATGAGCTGGCGGACACGCGGATATGCTGGCATGAGTACGGCGGAAAGATCATTGGAAAAGTGCAGGTGAGCAGAGAACATGCAGAAGCATCCGTAGAGAGAGAATAGGTAAAGGCAGGTGGTTGCAATGAACAGCTGACCATGGACAGATGGGTGGAGCCCCCAATGGGAGGGAGAGGAGGAGGGGGGTCCCAGTCACGAGGCAATGGATGCGTGGATATGCTGGCACGAGAATGGACGAGTGGTTTTACTACAGAAAGGAGGATGGGCGGGCTTGGCTGTTGTGGAACGTGGTTTTATAACTTTTATTTGTTTGACGACTCGCAGAGTCTCAGGGGAAGTGGGAAGAAAACAGTCAGGGGAAGAATGTATGCTTATGAGGCACAGTGAGGTGTAAACGAAGAAACTTGCCTGTTGTGGCTTTTTCATCCGCAAGGTGAGGGTGCAGAGTCTGCAGACAGTTGAATCCACACCACAACAGTACTACAAACGAGGTGGTCGGGGGGGGGGGGGTTCGGCAATTCTTTTGCGTCAAAAGCCCTGTTATGGCGGACATCTAGCGCCTCGCTCCACTCCTCAACACTCGACATGTATCGAAAATGCAATATGGACCAGATGCATTTGGACCGGTCCACCAATTTGCCGTCGGCAATTCTGCAATTCTTTTGCGTTAAAACTTGAAAGCCCTGCCGCGACGGACATCTAGGGCCTCGCTCCACTCCTCAACGCTCGACATGTATCTTAAATGCCATATGGACCAGGTGCATTTGGACTGCTCCACCATTTTGCAGTCACCGGGATCATTTCAGGTCCAGATACTTTTTGAATGCTGTGCAGTGGACCGAGGCCCCTGCTCGCTTCCTCAGTCGGTGCTGCCGACCTATACTACTCCGGTCTGTCTCCGACAACCGGAATAACAATCAATCAGGTCATCATTCTGATAAAAAAAGAGCAATAGCATGTCTGACAACAAATGGGATGTGATTGGCTCTTGACCCTATCGAGGTCCCCTTAGGCGCCGCAGAACCTCAGAATTTGCGGTCCTGATGCGCGGTACCGATGTAACGACCTTTTGTCCGGACGTCTGGTCGTGGTGCGGAGCCTTAACGACCCAGTGTTGATCTTCTCGCCGAGTCCAAGCAACGAGTATGAATTCTCAGACGTACAGGTTCCCGTACAGATATTACCTGTACGGTTCGGACAGAAAGGCCCCGTACGTGTACGTTTGGCAACGCAGTCCTTATCATTTACCTGATCCAAGTCCACGGCCTATTTTTGGGTCACTGGAACCAAGGGGCTGGCACGTATGAGTGGAGCCTGACGGATTCTTCTGAAGTGCCAAATGGGAACGGAACTTTTAGGACAAAGGCAGGAGAAACCAGTGAAACCAGTGAAACAACAACACTGTGGACTAATGGCGATCGTGGCAGCGCGGTCGTGGCAGCGCAGTGGTGGCGGTGATGGTGGTTGTCACACTTGACACGACTAACAAGTCCTGCCTGCCATTGAAACTAAGTGGTCAGGTCCAAATCGGCGGATACGGACCGTATGGGAGTTGATTACCCATCTATTGATATTGATTGGGGGACAAGTTCTCTCTGGCAAGTCGATGTGCCGACAAGGAAACACAGTTGGTTGGGAACTGACGTGGTACCGAAGTTCCAGAAGTGGGCTGTGGAACTCCATAATGGGACCGTCAACCCATTGGGCCTGTGGAAGTTCCAGAAGTGGGCTGTTCACTACCACGACTCCTCGAGGCTCGAGGAGTCACCTAAGAGATGTGGTAGTGAACATTCTGGAGGGGCTGTGGAACTCCATAATGGGACCATCAACCCATTGGGGCTGTGGAACTCCATAATGGGACCATCAACCCATTGGGGCTGTGGAACTCCATAATGGGACCGTCAACCCATTGTCGACGTGTGACAGGTTCCAGGAACCTGATGGAAGTCAGTCTCGAGGCCTGTGAAGCAGATACGGAATATGGTCCCCCCGTTCCAGTGAACGACGACTCTGAGAAGTAGAAGCGGGAAATAGGAAACACCCTGGGCTCAGCGTACATGGCTGGCGGGATACATGGTTTTTTTTTTTTTTTTTTTTTTTTTGTGATACATGGCTTTGTAAAGTGGACCTACATGGCCCACAGCGGTGTCACGTGTGGCTCTTAAACCACCACTAGCTCCAAGCCTCTTGTTTGCTGAGTTGGAGTAGAACTGCTGAAGCGCCAGCGTGACCTTTATCCTTTACTTGTGGCTGCCACTGCCAGCTATTTTGGTCCCGTGGCACCCGGATTCTGAAAGAATGCGGTATAGGTTATATTAATATATTTACTTCTTTTTATTATTTTTTTTTATTTTAAATACTTTTAGCCTTTCACTCTGACAGGTAGTGGTGGTTTAAGTTAAAAAAAAAAAACGACAAAAAAAAACCGACAACATGTGGGAGCATTAACCGTTGTATGATAGATCACAGAAGCACACCACATTGTTATCTGGTAAGTGTTTTTTATTTTTATTTTTATTTTTTTTAAAGGGCGACGGCCTTTAGCTATCATCGTTGAACTGATTTGGTAAGTGTGTTGCCTTGTGCCCTCTATCCTTTCATAGATTATAATATATTTGTATAAGTGTGCCGCTCTGGCGGCAGACGGGTGTGTGGGCACTTGGCGCTTAACCACACAAACATGGCCGGCCTTGCATCGTCTAATGTACTGTCTATCTATACCTGTTTTGTTTTATGGGTGGTTTGTGATGATTTGCGGATGGAATGAGAGAGAGAATTGGGGGTTGAAAAAAAAAACAAATGGGCTTGTCATGGTCATATGACCATGTGTATATCGAGGCACTTGGCAGGACCATGGTTGCGAAAGTGGAATGACTGATGTACCAGGTGGGGACCACACGATTCAAGAGGTTCATCCTTCAGAGGCAGCGAGTGATGGAAATCCCCCAGTCTGTGGACTGTGACCATGGGCAGCTGTGATACTGCACACTCATTGAACGCGAGTAAACGCGGTGAACACATTTGCGGGACCTTGAAATGCTGCGGGGAGGGGAGGATGGGAGGGGGGGTTGGAGACGGGCGGGTCGGGAAGGGGCGGAGGCACCCCACGCACCGGGGGGAGAGAGAGAGAGA